CAGCACACAACAGTTGTATTGACACCTCTTTCTCTACTAGATATCGAACCTACAGCACGTTTCCCCTTCTCAGCTATCACCGTCTGACATTTGTATTGTACGGTGCTTACGCCTGTCTCGTCAATGTTAAAAATAGTAGTTGCATCAATTTTATTTTCATCAATAGTATTTTTCAAAATGTCAAAGAATTCTTTGACATTGCCTTTAGAAAACCCTTGTGCCATTGCCAAGGATGTAGCCTGAGGCTCACGAAGGGAAATGTCCTTGTGACGTTTCATGAAGTTGTAATACCATTTTTTACCAGCGATCTGTTTCTCCTTATTAAATACGTGAGGGATACCATTTCTAACAACAATTTGAAATGCGAGTCTACGCACGTCCGTTATTGTGAGCCCAAAGAAACACGCTTCTACTTTTTATAGATGATGTACAAGCTTTTGCTCTACATCGGGTGGTAATGTAGGGTGACGTCCCATAGCTTTGGGACCTTCATTGGCCTTTATATTTTTACTGTCTAAATGACGCTTAAGCAGTACTTGCTAGGAGCACCGCACGAACGCTGTAGTCACTCTATTTCGTATTAAAAGTAATGTGGTACGATTTAGGAGACGGTACGATTTTGGAAACTCTCCTCTAGCTCATGTATTTTTTGTACACTCTAAGTTTATGGGATTTTGATTGATTATGTCAGTTTCATGTCACTTGAAACAAAAAGTTAAGTTGTGAAATGGTCTTTGAATGGAATTAGTACTTTTACTATATATCGCATCCGTATTCGTCCTACATTCGACGTATTCAGTCACCGGGTAACAGAATTTAGAATATATTTAACAATTAATATGGTCTCTTTCTAAGAGACGCTCAACCAACTCAATTGTTTCAATTGGCGGTATACATTTTGGTCATTAAACGATGTAAATTCAAGATTTTCTCCTCGATGTTTAACCATCTTAATCCTCTTCAATCATTCACGGCCGTCCGAAACGAGTCCTTTCCCAAACAAATCACAGTCCCAATGAGCGATTATCTCGAAAGACACTTCGTCCAAGATCTGATTTATCTAATTATCAGTTGTGTCGGAATAATTCTCGCTCCTTTAATATCTGTGATTAAGTCGATGGTTATCGGAGGCACCCGTAAAAAACAAAGATCTTAATCGAGACCGTGATATGCAATTAAAACCTATAACAAATCTTTGGATTACTCTCAAATCCTATCATTTATTAAGAATTATAGATATAAATTCTCATAACCAGAATGAATAAATCGTGGTCGCTTTTCACCAACAATTAACTCGGAATTTATGGCAGCGCGGTTTTGCCCTTTGGACAACAATACGGTGATCGCCACCAACTGTTCCGCAGAGGTGGGAGATTTTTATCGCTCTATTTGGTATTCTGATTTTGAACACCTTTACTTGAATCAAGGTACCCGGAGAGTTTCGATGATGTTTAAATTCACAGGGTTATCAAACAAAAATAAACAAATAAACAACATTTTAGATGTAATATGCAGTAACCAGTTATTTAAAATATATCATATTTTCTCAATTTTCAGGTGTCCCCACGAGAGTAAAACAAAAGGTACCAAATCAAGTAACCGTAAAGGCAATTTGATGTTGCTTCTTCCACAGATTCACTCTAGTTGAAAATGTTTATCTGTATAGTGATACAAATAATGTGCATGATCATTGCCCTAATGAAACATGAAATAGCTTCGATGGTATTCGTGATTTAGACAGTATCTTAGATCCAGAAAAGCCCATTTTTCCATCTTACTGACTTATCTCATTCCATCTGTTTAAATTATTCATGCGCCAAGTCAACCTCCTCTAGAAAAATAACCTCTCCAATAAGCTTGAGGTCTTCCACTTCTGTATATCTTATTACGTTAAACTATTCGACTTTACTACATATCTAACTGTAAAGATTCAACTTAATGTGATCATGGGGAAAAAGTCCAGAGCTTGAATGATTGATTTACGGATTGCGCTCCCTAACCAATTACTCGTCTTCATTCAATTCGTTTTGGCTTCAAACTAGGTCCAATCATTTGTACTCCTGTTGTTGAACAGTTCAAGTTTATGGAGATACTATTTATATTCTGTATTTTAATACGACGAGATAGCTGAAACCTGACAAACAGTGGTTGAAACTAAAACAGTAACGCGTGTCGAATTGGTGACGAATAACAAGCAAACATACTTCCTTGCACACTCCCTTTCCTCCAGCCGTAACGTCAAGGCGCGTATCCATTTACAACAAATTGCCCGTAACGTAACAGCTGAGACGATACGTTACGGCTAATTCAGTTGGCTTCAACATCCTCAGCGACTTCAACAAGCGTAATTGTCACAATTCAAACCGCCATTCGTCAGTTTTTAGCCGATGCGTTTCATCAAAGGATTTTTACGTTACGCATGGTGACCAGTTAGGACAAGAATTTATGTATAACGTATCTTATTTAAGGCTTCATTCGGTTACGTTCGTTTACCCTAACCAATTACTCGTCTTCATTCAATTCGTTTTGGCTTCAAACTAGGTCCAATCATTTGTACTCCTGTTGTTGAACAGTTCAAGTTTATGGAGATACTATTTATATTCTGTATTTTAATACGACGAGATAGCTGAAACCTGACAAACAGTGGTTGAAACTAAAACAGTAACGCGTGTCGAATTGGTGACGAATAACAAGCAAACATACTTCCTTGCACACTCCCTTTCCTCCAGCCGTAACGTCAAGGCGCGTATCCATTTACAACAAATTGCCCGTAACGTAACAGCTGAGACGATACGTTACGGCTAATTCAGTTGGCTTCAACATCCTCAGCGACTTCAACAAGCGTAATTGTCACAATTCAAACCGCCATTCGTCAGTTTTTAGCCGATGCGTTTCATCAAAGGATTTTTACGTTACGCATGGTGACCAGTTAGGACAATAATTTATGTATAACGTATCTTATTTAAGGCTTCATTCGGTTACGTTCGTTTACGTAACGAATTCATTTGAAGGATGGAAACTCAAAACGATTCTTGAATCAAACCAAGATATCTCGCAACAAACTGCACGTGTACGTGTGACGTTACGTTACGGTTCAATTAGTACAAATAGTTAAACGCCTTCATATGTTGACAATTTGTTTGTGCATATTGCGTCAGGGCAGTAATCGTGATATCACTGATACTTCGAGAATAGGAAACAGCATTAATTCCTACAAAAATATGATCAAAATCTCTAAATACGTTGAGGCTGTTTCACACTATGTTATCAGAATACAGAAAACTGATGCCAGTAGTAGTATTGACTAAACTTTCCTTAATTGACTATTGAAAGAATTTCTGTCTGACGGGTGACAAGTTCTTGAAGACTTCAAAGATGAATTTTGCAACATTCAATTGGTAATCATGAATACATATGTAATAAATGTCATATGCATATGGATGCTCGTTCTGTTATTCTTTCAGGTGCAAATCAAGCAATCATTATATGAAAACGGAAGCTTTTTTTATGTCAGCTACATCGACTACTGTTATCAGAGAGAAATATCTAATCGAAGGCGGATTTCACTCAAGATATTTCGGCTGATAGCTATACACACCACTACCACTCAACCAATTTACCTCAATGAAAACTTACTGAAATTGAAGTCATTTTCAACTTTGGAAAAGTCTCTTCATCAACGTTGAGCGAACACTTGAAAAAATGTTTGCAAAAAGTTACGGTACATTTTTATTTTCGACACTTCCATGTTTCGGTTCATATACTTGTTCATTGACAACTAAATACACTAGTTATCAAGGTTGTTTTTTTGAAGTCTCAATAATTATAGCCAAAGGTTTGAAACTGACCTCTCAGATTTTGAAGGGAATTGTTCAGTTACTCCAAGATTTACGACAAAAATCCTATCTTTTCTGACGATGTATATGCTTCAAGTATAGCATTTTCTATGAACCTCATTACTTCGTGAATCATTTTGTTCCTGTAGACTCTGTGTTAGAACTCTTCTCATCAATAGCAACACAAATACAAAGTTGGAATTCACCAAACTGTCCTTTATAAATCCGGAATCACGTCATTGAACACTGGCATTCATTACTCTCATCATCAATATAAGTCGATATATAAAACATAATTGTATCAAAACCTCTTCAAGACATGTTATATCAATCAATCTACATTATTTATTCAACCAACACATTGATAATATAAAATATTCAGCAATCTTTATATCTATCATTGAAATCATAACAATTTATTAATCGTTTTCGTTCATTGAATCGCCAATCAAATTGATATTTCTCATTAACTTGATTTATGATCAATATCAATATTTGGACAGAATGAAACTAATTTCAATTCCAAATAGATATCTTTAGCAATTTGCATAATTGAGTTCAACCGGTGGGCTTTTCATATGAAATTTCTATATCATTGATCATTTATAACACCTCCATTCTGAATTGAAAATTTATTGAATATGTTTATGGTTAAAAAATATCTTTTGAAGGAAATGATGAAGAAATGATTTGTTATGAAAACCTTTGAAAAAAGTGAATCGTTAATTAGATGATCCATTTGCCAGATTGGCCTAGAGATCTAGATTGTATGGAAAATCGAGAATGGTTATGGATTTATCTGTCTTCGATATATTATTTGAAGCAATTATTCGACTTGTTTAGCCCGCTTGATTTTCTCGAAAGAGGGGTAAATCAGAAATATGCTAATATACCACAAACACAACTTACCCATTTTCATCGAAATCAATATTCGATTATTTAGAGAAATTTTGCAGGCAATTCTTGGCTGCGAAGAATCTCTTCAAATCCCCATTAGCAAACAAACAAAACGAACTTCTCAACATGACTCTAGAATAGTTTCGACTTACTACAATTATTACTTCATCATTTGAATAGATTAGCTTGGAGAATGAAAAGGTCATCCTTAAGTCCTTCTATAAGTATTGTACGAAATTATAGCTACTCAAACTGAATAAAACTTACCTAGTAGTTTTGTTACAGCCCCCTGTTGTGTGAGCATGTGCTGCGCTAAGTCATAATGCCTCAAACCAAACCTTGATAACTCCAAAAACCTCTGTTGCGAAACTAGAGAAGCCAGGGGGTGTCCAGGGGTTGCAGCGGTACTGCCGTACAATTCCCTCAGCGCTGCAGGACCAAGCGATGAAGGAATAGCTGAAGAAGGTGTAGCTGATACTTGACTGGTAATAGAGGCGGATGATGAATCTTGTTAACAGTTCTTTTGTCAATTATTGCTTGTATTTCATTTCATTGTAATTCTAGTTTTTTGCTTAGTACAATTGATATTTTTCAGTCAGTTTTTTTAGATTTTATAGACCTTTTCAGGGAGTTCAAATCAGTTCACAGCATATTGGACAATGGAAGTCCGAACTGATGAAATGCAAGAGAGTTCACTTCAATATGCCTAAATTAGAGTCACTAGTAAAACTTCGAAGTGAAAGATAGAAAATGACATCAAAGGTTTTCCAAAAATCATGGTATTTTGGTTGCGTGATCACCATAATATACATTTATGAAAATCATACTCTCTGTTCAAGATAATCACAAAACAGATACTCTGAGAGAGACAAACTCTGAAGGAAGTTCTAATTAGTTCCCGAAATATTCGAAAAGGACCGAAATTTTGAAATTTGATCAATTTTTTATGATATTATTTAGAAGATACTGAGACACATAAAAACACTACATCACTGCCACTTTTCAAACTGTACAATAAACACTACATTACTGCCACTTTTCAAACTTTACAAGGTTTGACGAAACTTTGGTTTATTTCATATGTGTTATTTCATAAATCGGGGGTTTCCAGTTCCAAAATTCACCAAAATAATGCTCAAAATATTACCCATTTTTTACTAACAATCCTCTTATCAGTCGCCTCCATTACACAGACCTTTCACCTATCATACAACTGACGTAAAAAGAATTAAATAAAACAATTTGTTTGCAAATTATATCGCGGATTATTGGCCAGAAGAAAATCACATAACTGACCTGCATAAGGACCCCGTTTTTGCAGTAATCAAGAAGCAATTTGGTCCGGAATAGAGTCATGCATTGAATATTTATAGCCAAATTATCCAAAAACAAAACCTGTTCCATCTACATGAACGACTTCATAAAATATCGCTTTTTAAAGTTGGTGATTACACAGTCGCTTTCTTTCATAAGTGAATTTTTAGTATCAGGATCGGACTTCTGGTTTTGAAAACTTTAATCAGTATTGATTACCATATGAAACAGGTTTTGGAACATAATATATGTTATTTCAAATTATTGTGGATTTGGTGAGGAAATAATGAAAATATTTTAATTCATTTTTGACAGATACTGTTGCAATAATGAAAAAATTGTTTTTTCAATTGAGTACACATATACAGGTTGATGTTAAAATATGATATTGAACATTTTTGAACAACTTTTCTATAAATATTACTGGAATTTTTTCCCAACACCATACCGTTATTTTAACACCTCGACACGTGTATCGATCACCACGTGATCCTTTTCAAGAGGAAGCTCAAACTAATCATACTTACAAAGTGTCTTAAATCAATTTTACAATTTGCCTTATCTACTTGTCTTGAATTAATTTCACAATGTGTCCTTATGTAAAAGTCAGGTAAATAACTAGAAAATTTAACCCAGCACGTTTGTGCTGTCCACAATGATGTGAACTGTCAGGAATATACCTGAACGTGCTTGTTTCCTTTCTATATACATCGTATTCTAACCCTCCATATCGGCTCCTCATTATCAAAACGTCAAGAAAGTTGTCTTTTATTTCTAACTCATACGTGAATTTCATTGATGAAAATCTATTATTTAAAAAGGAAATAAAGTCCTCAATATTCGATTTTTTGTTATCGAATATCGCGAAAATATCATCCACATACCTTAGCCATACTTTGACTTTTTTTGGTTTCCATTTTGAATCTGCTCATGAACAGGTTTTCCAGGTAGGGGGACAAGGAGTTACTCATAGCCGTTCTCTCCTGTTGTTCATAAAAGCAACCTTCTACCTGGAACCGGTTTTGTTTCATACAAAAATTAGTAAGAGAAACGAATTCATCAATTTCGTTATTATTGGAACTAACATCAAAAGAAACCAAAATCTTACCTTCTTTCAGAACGATGTTTTTTGTATGTTGTATGAACTCTAAAGAGTTTCCATTAAAAAAAATTCGAACAGACAATTCAATTGTGAATCAAAAATTGATGAAAATATTCCAGAGATTGAATTCGAATGAGATTTTGAAAACGATGAATTATTGAACCAAAATGAAGATATTCGAATAATTTTGAATTCATATTGATCATTTCAGGGCGAAACAAGAAGTTGTGGGGGTCGCTTGCACCCAGTTAAAACAAGATATTCGTTGAGCAAGAATGGCAGGGATGTTCATGGAATACCCTTCTATAGATTCAAAGAGGATTTCTTGAGGATATCCATGAGAGTTGCATTGTTGATCCATGAAATGAACAATAAGTGGATCGTATTCCATTATCTTCCACTTATATCAGTGTTTCTTAAAGTATGCGACGCGGCGCCCTGGGGCGCCGTGGAACCTTTACTGGGGCGCCGTGGGCCATGGGTGAGTCTCAAGGTACAACATTTCACAACATAGATAACTGAGAGTGAAGGTAATACGTCGAACCCATTAATAAAAATCCTCTGATAATATAATAATATGGGTAATTGCATAATGTAATCCGTTTTAACAGCCACCTACCTACTTTTATTAATTGAATATCTAGTGGAGTCTTTACGTTCGGGGCGCCGCGATAACCTTCAAAAGAAAAACATAAGGGAGCCGTGAATTCGAAAAGTTTGAGAAACACTGACTTATATGTATTGACTTTCTGATTGTAGTTATATTATCATCGTTTTCATCTGCTAATTTTCAACCCTGTTGAATAGACTTCTGAAAGATTTGCCAAGATCAATGATAAATGACGTAATAAACTGGAAATGAATGATAACAACTGATCAGGTATTGTTTTTACCTAGTGAAAGCTACATCATGAGTATATAAGTTGACGTGTGGTGCATGCCAAAACTTTATACTTTCCAAACGAGAAGAACCTTCATCCAAAGAATCAAAGGCCATTAAAGCAGTTTCTTGAATACGAAGACAAATCCTATTTTTGTCAACCTTCTATTAGCAGATGAGTTTATCCGCGATTATGACGTGTTACATGTGAAAGAGAAAGGTTTGGAATCTGATTTTTCAGAATGTTTGGAAATCGATAGATTCGAGAACTCTGAAGATGACTGCCGCAGTTGCAGGTTATAACCAAAGATGACCCGGAAACCCTCCACTACATTTTCATAATGAGTTCACGAATGGTGTTGAATCTAAGGAAAGAAGTGAAATCTCTTTTTCAAGAAACAGATACAATTCTCTTTTACTGTTCATTCGAAAAAAAATATAGTATAGGTTAGAATCTGTTGAACAGAAATTTACATACAGTTATGTTCTTTGTTGTAAACTTTAGAGCTCATTTGGAATGTGTTGAAACTTACGAAAGTGTTATGTGTAACGTTTCTGTCATATTTGCTCCTATAGAAGGAACTATCACGTCAGTAACTATTTTGTTCTATATATTGACCATATTAAATATTATTAATCAATAACTTCTAGAAAAAGTAATGTCTTCAATTTTTACCTTCTCAAAAATTTGTGGATTTGCCACTCATTCTTTATTTTCAATTGGATAACGAATTTTGAGTTTCATAAAAATCGACTCATCTGTTTTTCATTGATAATTATCAGCTATAGTCTACATAAATTCATCATAAAAAAATTCAACATATTTCTTAGATTTTATATATTTTCAGATGTTTGCAATTCCATCCAATCGAACAAGGAAAGAAGAAGACACGAAGAAAACAACAAAACAAAAGTGAAACAGTTTCGTTCATGAATACATTAGATTATACTTCAAGTTTGTTGAAAACAGTACTCTTCTTTATATTCAGATTTGTTTTGAAATTTTCTTTTGTTGTACAAATTTGTATTATAATAACTACAGATCTTCACAACAAAAATATTGATTGATATTTGAATCAACGTGTAAGATATAGAACATTATTTTTATGTTTATCATTATTATATTTCAATTAATTTGATTCATTCATTCATTCAAAACATACTTGTACATCAATATTTCAAATGCTATATGTTATCATGCTGAATGATTGGTTAACAGCTAGCTACGAAACATACCGATATTGTGCTTTCCCATATATTCAGCAAGATTTGATATTTGGGCTGAAAATTCTCAGTTAGTACTGACCTTCAAAAGAAAGCTGTTGAATTTTCATGATATTGTACTCATAAATTTGTAAGTTTTTGGCTACGAGTGACACTACTTTTGTTATTTTCAAAACAATGTATCGAAAATAATGTCATGCCTTGATTTTACACTGCTTCTTGATGGGAAAAATATCGTTCAAGCAAAGCAATGGCTTGAAAACTTTTACAAGGAAACAACATCATCAGAATCAACAATTCAACGTTGGTTTGTTGACTTCAAACGTGGTCGTAGAGATACCGATGTGGTGTCCAAATGAGTCAGAACGTCCAAATGAGTCAAATGGACGTCCAAATGAGTCAGAACATATCAGAAAACAAAAATTTTAAGAGACCGGTTCTGTGTGCAATAAAGCAGCAAAATTGAGATTTTAGGCCATTCGCCGTTGAGCCTTCTACTTCAATTTCGAAAGTCGCTAAGTTAGTAAATATTTCAGTTGGTTCTATACACAAAGTTTTGAAACTGAACAAGTTATTTCCTTACAAAATGAGTATTCTTCAGCNTAAGAATATCCGAGAAAATGAGGTTTAGATTTCCTCTATTCATATTTCGATACGCGTACCCTGATATTGATTTGAGGTAACTATGTACCTGATCAAATATTCCATACTAAATTTCATGCTCTAATTATCAAAAATGTCAATATTTCTAGTCCTATCCTGTAGACCAAATTCACTTTCTTTGCGAGTCGCATTGAAATTCATTACTTAGGAAAACCATCTGCAAGTAAGGCCTTAATGAAATCTGTTAAAATGTCTTGTTTTTGGTAAGAAACACATGTCGTCACAGTAATTCGTAGTATATCGGTTACATCTTGTATAATGAACGGTGCATAATGAGCATGAAAAAAGGGATGTTTGCAAGCATGGAGGCACACCTGTTAACAG